AAATCCAAGTCTTCTATCACTTGAGCCCACGTTTGGCTGTCGTTGTCTTCGGTGGCCATCACTTCATCGACTCGGAGATTGTGTCCACACTTTGTTCACCCGATTCTCGGCAATCAATTCAACACAAGTCTCATAACAATTCACTTAAACACAAATCTATCAAAACTTTTGCCGCAATTTATAAACAAAACATTTGAAAACATAAAACCATTTGCTTTCAAGCATTGACTCAACTCTGACTCACACTCTCTTAACCCAAACCAATAACTGGTTTAATAGTTTCGATAATATTTATACCCAAATAATGTTTCCAATATGTGAGGGATTTTCTAACAATTCTCAACTATTTAGTCTATGAGTCAGACTTTCGATGGGAAACATTGTCTAATCTTTGGGTATACAACGAAACCATTGGTTAACAAACATTTGGTGTATTTTATGAGTGTTTGACATAAATAGTGACATCTTTTGGGTATTAAATACCATTCATTTAGTCAGTGATCGACCGGTGCTTAACATAACCACAAACTCATTGATTGTTTCAATTATTTAACAATTTAAACGAAATGCATTTTACGGTAAATAATTTATTTGAATTGAACATACTGTACATGTATGTGATTTTTATACCTTTTATTATTTTCGATTTTGGCACATATTTTTTACAGCATCAATGAAATGCCAAAATCGGGCCGAACTTTATACGGAAAATATATTTCTCTACGTTTCCATATATGCCACACATTTCCGCGGGCTATGCCTTCAATACCTCAGCCAAACATTTGCGGCGAAGTATAGCAACGAAATGAGACAATTAGTGTCCATAAGTCAAGACTTGGTCGACAAAACGGCCGATAGGATAGCCATCGGCAGTATTGCACTGTTTAGACGCCTCGACCCAAACACCAACCAATCCCTGGATCTCTATTATCATCACTTCTACTATTACTACACAATTAATATGACATTTATATTTGATAAATACGTGACACATTTATTGGGCACTTATTTCGGTTAATATGTGATAAAATTACAAATAATATGAGAATATTTATTATTTCAATACATTGTTTGTCGGAAATACAAGAAACACTCGCTATCGAGTGACCGGATATTCAAGCGATTGGTATACAGACAGCAAATATCACGTTATAATCCACGGCAAGAGTAGTGACGCGTACCGATCGTTAGGGCAATACATATACGGATTGTTTCAATACGACCCGTCATTTGGAGACTCGAGAAAAGCGTTCAAACCTGTTGTCAATTACGACCAAATAAAGCCATTAATACCCGATATATTGCAAATTCATTTGAGTAAAATAGTGTGCACCCTGTGTTCAACCCAGGACAAATTCCGTGGCGATCCCCTCCCCCTTCTATTCGCATTCAATATGAAATACGATAAATACAAAAACAAATGGCATTTATTGATTGTCCACGAATTGAAACAAAACAATATGACATACAGTGAGACAAGTCTTGGTAAGAGTGTTGGCCCACAGCTATACTTCCCTTTCTATCAATTGGTTGACGAAATGTTTGGCCCAAAAGATTTGTATAACTATTCAAACGCCGGCTTTAATAAGATTATCGGCGCATACTTTGTGCCCTTTAAAAGCAGCCAATGGCCACATATTGTCGCTAATAATATACATGATAAAAGTGATGATAAGAATTTGTATGATTACAACATGGTCAATTATTCTGTGAAATTTAAACATGGTGAAAAATGGGTTTGGTATAAAGAGGATAAACACTTTGAGGTTAGTTTGTTGTGTCATTTCGTTGCTATACTTCGCCGCAAATGTTTGGCTGAGGTATTGAAGGCATAGCCCGCGGAAATGTGTGGCATATATGGATCTCAAGTGATAGAAGACTTGGATTTCAATCAAATGATGAATAAATTCAATGAAATGAAGGTTTTCTGCGAAACGATAGACAAAATGCAATGTATTTTGAATACAAATTATAGTGATTTGAATGAAACCATTGAATCATTCAATGAAATTAATATTATTGATTGCAAACCATTGAAAATTATTGATAAAATGATTGGAAATATTAACTCAATTAATAATAATAATAAGTATTTCCACTGTTTTTGGCCCAATTGTCACTTCAATACTAAATATAAATTCAGTTTAAGTGAACATCAATTAACTCATTCGGAAGGAAAACTATTTAAATGTAATTATAATAATTGTGATAAAAGCTATAAAAGATTCGCCCATTTATATGATCACAAAAATAGCGTTCATTTAAATAAAAGAATTAAATGTGATGTCAAAGACTGTAACAAAACATTTACCAAAAAACATCATTTAAATCAACACAAAAGTTGTGTTCATTTGAAACAAAAGGCATTTAAATGTGATGAAGAAAATTGTGGCAAAAGTTTTGGCGTAAAATCACATCTGATTGAACACAAACGCATTCATTTGAGCGAAAAACCACTTAAATGTGATTTTAATGGTTGTAACAAATGTTTTACACTAAAGAAACATTTAACTAAACACAGGAATAGCGATCACTTGAATATTAGATTTGTTTGTGATGTCAACGATTGTAATACAAGTTATAAAACAAAACAGCGATTAAATCAACACAAAAGTTGTGTTCATCTGAAGGAAAAGCCATTCAAATGTGTTGAAGAAAATTGTGGCAAAAGTTTTGGTTTAAAACAATATTTAAAATCACACCAACGGATACATTCGGGAGAAAACCCATTTGTTTGTGATTTCAACGAATGTAACAAAAGTTTTGCAGTAAAACAATACTTAACTCTACATAAACGTATACATACGGGAGAAAAATCATTTGTGTGTGATTTCAACAAATGTAACAAAAGTTTTACACTAAAAGGAAACTTAAATCTACACAAACGATGAGTTCATTCGAAAGAAAAGCCATTCAAATGTAATGAAGAGAATTGCGGCAAAAGTTTTAGTTTAAAATCATATCTAAAAACACACCAACTCTTTCATTCAGGAGAAAAGCCATTTATTTGTGATTTTAATAATTGTAATAAAAGTTTTAAATCAAACGGACAATTAAATCGACACAAGAGTTCTTTTCATTTAAAGAAATTGAAATAATTTTCAAACATTTATTTCAAAAATTATTATAAATTATAACATTTTGTTTCTAATTTTTATATTTGTATTTAATGTTCAGTTTTGAAACAATTTTTAAAATATTTAATTATTTCGTTAATATTATGCGATAATTGTATTTTAAGTGTTTATTATTATTAAACATAATTCTAGTATTGATTGATTGCACTTAAATTACTATCAATTTTGATATAATTCTGTTTCAACTCATAATTAAAATACAATTAATAAAAATTGTGAAATAATCTCAAATCCTTTCTCAGATATTTTTAATTAAATTTATGTCCACAGTATTGTCCTCAGAGTTGTATTGATGGACAGGAGGTCTGATCCCAATGTGCTATATCTGGTGTATTTTGTATTCACAGCAGTGTTTGCATTGATTTCAATGATTACCTTTTTATAAAATAAAATTCTATTAAATTAAAGTTTTAATAACTAATAAACTTTCCATATACAACTGAATTATAAACAATATAATAGTGATTATTAAATTAAATTAAATTAGATTACTATTAAATAGTCTATTATTAGTAATAATATTTTGAAATAAATTCACAAGCTTGATTATTACTAATGTATTGTGCATGACCTGAAATTAAAATACATACAGTATATCCATTAACTTTTGAGATATGGATTATGATAATAGGATTTAATTCACAATAACAACTAATAACCTTGGTAAATTGTTGTCCCGGGCATAGCATGTGATGCCTCGCGTAGTATTGAAATACCTGTTTATAAGACCCAACACATGAACTGCACGTGTGTTTCATTGCAATCAGTGTTAAATACAATTACTTTTTGGTTTGAGTTTAAAAATCATTTATAAAATGTGTTCAAAATTAATAAATGTTTCGTTAATTAAAATGAAGAATATATTAAATGCAATGAAAAGTTTGTGTGAAGTTATATAAAGCGATAATTGTATTGAAAGTGTTTTTATTATTAAACATATTTTTAATATTAATTAATTGTAATCAAATTACTATCTATTTTGCTATAATTATGTTTTTCTCACAAAATGAATATTTTGTGTTAAATTATTGGAAGAATATTCCCAAATATTGGGAACAATAAAAGGGAATAAAAATTATAAAAACTTTATTTTAAATCAATGAGTGGTTTGTATGGAGAAAGTGTGAGTAAGAGTTGAGTCAATGCTTAAAATCAAATGGTTTTATGTTTTTCTTTGTCTATAAATTGTGGAAAAAGTTTTATTTTGTCTTAAAGTGTTTTTCAATTATTATAAAAGTTTTAATTGATTTGTGTTTAACTTAATTGAAATCGGATTTAGAGCTGAAGTTACAAACAGTTAACTCTAAAGTGAATTGATATGAGACTTGTGTTGAATTGATTGCCGAGAATCGGGTGAACAAAGTGTGGACACAATCTCCGAGTCGATGAAGTGATGGCCACCGAAGACAACGACAGCCAAACGTGGCATCAAATCAATCAAATCACTCACAAAGACATTACAAACCATCAAATGTTACGACAATTCAAAGCAATCAACACTTTGTGCCTAAAGTTACAGACTTTTCAGTCTATTCTCAATAATAATTATAGTGTTTTGAATGAAACGATTGAATGCGAAAATAATTTTGATTTAGATATCAATCAAACAATTGTTTGCAAAACATTCAAAATCAGTGAAACATTGCTTTCAATGAATGAAACCAAAAGCAGTGATAATTTTAGTGTAATTAATAATACAATTAATAACAATAATTATTTCCGCTGTTTTTGGCCTAATTGTCACTTCAAGACTAAATTTAACGTCAATTTAAATAGACATCAATTAATTCATTCAAATATAAAACCATTTAAATGTGATTTTAACGATTGTAATAAAAGTTATAATCACCAATCACTATTAATTAATCACAAAAATAACGTTCATTTAAATAAAAGATTTAAATGTGATTTCAATGATTGTAACAAATATTTTACACAAAAATCACATGTAATTAAACACAAAAGTAGTGTTCATTTGAATGAAAAGCAATTCAAATGTGATGTAGAAAATTGTGACAAAAGTTATACTGAGAAACGCAATCTAATGCGGCATAAATGCCTGCATTCGGGAGAAATGCCATTTATATGTTTTTATAATAATTGTAATAAAGGTTTCAAAACAAAATCAGAATTAGTTAAGCATAAAAATAGCGTTCATTTCATAAAGAGATTTAAATGTGATTTCAATGTTTGCAATAAAAGTTTTGCAACAAATCAACGATTAAATGAACACAAAAATTGTGTTCATTTGATTGAAAAACGATTCAAATGTAATGTAGAAAATTGTGGCAAAAGTTTTGGTCTGAAATCATTTCTAAATCAACACAAACGCAGACATTCGGGAGAAAAGCCATTTAAATGTGGTTTCAATGAATGTAATAAATGTTTTGTACAAAAACACGAATTACTTATTCACCAAAATTGTGTTCACTTAAAACAAAAGCCATTTAAATGTATTGAAGAAAATTGTGGACAAAGTTTTGGTCTCAAATCACGTCTAAATCTACACAAACTGACGCATTCCGGAGAAAAACCATTTAAATGTGATTTCAATGTTTGCAACAAAAGTTATGCAACAAATCAACGATTAAATAAACACAAAAGTTCTGTTCATTTAAAGAAATTGAAATAATTAAAAAAAAACAATTTCAAAAATGATTATAAATTATACCATTTTGTTTGTATTTAATTTTCAATTCTTTTCATAAATATTATATTGAATATTATGCGATAATTGTATTGAAAGTGTTTATTATTAATAAATATATTTCTATTATTGATTAATTGCAATTAAATTACTATCTATTTTGATATAATTCTGTTTCAACACATAATTCAAATTTTGAGAGAAAACATAAATTAAAAGCACACAAAAGTTTTGTTCATTTAAAACTAGTAAAATTGTTTGCATGCAAATCAAATAATTGTAAAACTACTGATTATAAAAGTAAGTTAATTAGACATCAATTAATAGTTGAAAACAATAATTATTGCTAAATAAATTTGCTTGGTCATCTTATAAACTAAAATATTTTTCAAATTGAATTGTAGTTAAAAATTAAAATTAGAAAATAAAAAACTAAAATGATAACAAATTAAAATTTTAATAAAAGCTAATTATTTAATAATGTTTTCATAGATTTTTCTAAAATCTTGAAAAATTTCATAAACTCAGACACAAATCCTGAGACAAAGAGATGGCATACGAATTGGACGAAGAGTACAGAAACAGACTGATAGAGCACACGGCCAGAGGAACAGACATTGAACCACATCCGGCACCCTATGGCCACATCTCAGGTCAACCGATTCAGGGACCGCCGCATTGGCCGCAGATATGGCCCACATATGCGGACACCGGTGTCGCACACCAACGCTATACCAGTGTTCACGACCCGTTGACAGCCGAAGACTTGGCATACCTTCAGACGGCACACGTCGGGTCCGTCGGTGCCATCAAATTTGACAAAATATTAGGCGCCGGCTGTTTCGCCAACGTATGGCAAGTGGAGGCACACAACGGGTGGGGCCGCACCCGACACATGGCTTGCAAGGTACTTATTTTTCAGGAACCACACGAATCAATGTCTTCTATATCTTCGATATCCTCAATGTCTTCAGAGGGGTCTCAAGAGGGCATTGAAGGCATTGAAGACACTGTCAAGCAGTTGATGGGAGACATGTTTATCCATCAGTGCCTCCCTTTCCACTCCAATATAGTAGAGTGTGTGGACATTGTTGGCATACCTGACCCGCAAACAGGGTTTCCCTATTCGGTGGTCTGTGTGTTCACTGAGCTGTGCGACGGTGTACTGCTCCGGGACGGCGATAACAGCGCTATGTCTGAGGCGCATGTGCTCGAGTGGGTGCGTCAGATCGCCGGTGCCGTCCGGTTTCTGCACGTGGACCAGCGTATGGTTCACGTGGACATCAAACCGGGCAATATTCTGTACAACTGTCGGCCGACAAACGGCACCGCACTTACAAACTGTGCGATTTTGGTCTCGCTGTTCAGTTCCCGGTCGGCGTTGAGATGCGATTCCCGGCCGACTGTCCTCGAGGTGACGACCCGTACGCCGCGCCCGAGTTGGGTCTCGACTCGTGTTGGGCCGCGCCGTGCGATATGTGGTCGTTGGCCGCGTCGGTGGCCCACTGTTTGCTCGGCTTTCAGACATTTATACGGCTCAACAAAATGAGACTTTTGCAGCTGTTCCAAGCGGTGGCCCGCAATAGGCCGGTGCCACTCGCGCACCCCATTAGCGCAGGTGTGGCCAAACTGGTCGCTGATATGATGGCAAGAGATCCGAACCAACGGCCAGCCATTGGACAGGTTTGTGACAATCCGTTACTCAAATAAGTGATGTTTGAAGTGATTGAACACAAGTATACATTGATTTGCAGTTTGTATTCATCAAAATAAATAAAATTAGTTTCCAATCATTTGCTTAAGTTATACTATTTTGTTGATAAATGTTTTATTAATGTAAAGTTTCCATTGTAATGTGGTTGTAATGTCAATAATTACATTCTATATAAAAGTAGAAATATAATTAAAAATAAAGTTAATTTTATAAAAGATTAATTGGAAACATATTTTCTAAAAAATATAAAATTAATTTTTAAATAAAACTTTCGGTTAAAAAAATTATAGAAAATAAAAATCAAATAAAACACAAGACATCGAGAAATGGCCCACGAGTTGAACGAAGAGTACCGGAAGAGACTGATAGAGCACACGGCCAGAGGAGCAGGCATTGAACCACATCCGGCACCCTATGGCACAGACCTGGGATGGGATCCCATGACATACAACTACAGACAGAGGCGACCAAAGCCCGGGGAACCACCGATCGAGAGACCAATACAGGGACCGCCGCATTGGACACAGATATGGCCCACATATGCGGACACCGGTGTCGCACACCAGCGCTATACCAGTGTTGCCGACCCGTTGACAGCCGAAGACTTGGCATATCTTCAGACGGCACACGTCGGGTCTGTCGGTGCCATCAAATTTGACAAGTTGTTGGGCTCGGGTACGTACGGCGCCGTTTGGCAGGTGGAGAGTTACAACGGGTGGGGCCGCACACGACAGATGGCCTGCAAAGTGTTTTTCTTTCAGGACCTCCAGAACTGGCAAATTGAGGAAAATGTCGCGGCATTTATGACCGACATGTTTATCCTTCAGTCCCTCCCCTCCCACGACAACATTGTTGATACGGTGGACATCGTAGGCATACCCGACGCGCAGACAGGGTTTCCCTATTCAGTGGTCTGTCTGTTCACTGAACTGTGCGACGGAGACCTGCAGAGCATAATCGTGGAACCGCTCAATCAGAATGGTATGCCTGAGGCACAGGTACTCGAGTGGGTGCGAGACATCGCCAGCGCTCTCCGGTTCCTACACGTGGACAACCGTATGGTTCACATCGATGTCAAACCCGACAATATTCTGTACACAGCGTCGGTCGCCGGTCGGCGCCGGACATACAAACTGTGCGATTTTGGTTTCGGCGTTCAGTTCCCGATCGACACAGTTATGGAGTTCCCGAAAGGCGCTCACACCGGGACTCACACTCACGCCTCCCCAGAGCTGGGCGTTCGCCAGTGTTTGGCCACCCCTTGCGATGTGTACTCATTGGGCGCGACTGTGGCCAACGCTTTGCTCGGCTCTAATACATTCTCATCGCTGGACAAACCGAAGTGCCTAAAACTGTTTCAGGCGTTGGCCCGCAGTATACCCGTGCGGCTCAAGAACCCCATCAGCGTAGGTGTGGCCAAACTGGTTGAGACTCTGTTGGCCACTGACCCGACCCAACGGCCAGCCATTGGACAGGTTTGCAATCATTCATTGCTTAAGTAATGTTTAACAAGTATTCAGCACAAGTGTACAGTAAAATCGATTTGAATATTGTGTCCATCAATATATAGTTTCATATGATTTGTTTGATGTATTTTATTATTTAACTTTTATTTAATTCATATAATTTGTTTGAAACTTCACATATCGTGGTAATTTTGTAGCACAAACAATAAATGAATACTTTTAACAATATAGTTTTTAGATTATTGTTTATAACGTAATATAACATGATAATTATTATGACAATAATATTTTATAAGTTTGTAACGCTTTAAAGAAGCGGAACTTTTCTTAAAATAGTTTTTAATGGAAATATTGGTCAGTATTGTTAAACAAAACATAAAATTGTAAAAATAGTTTCAAAAAAATAAACAAAAACAAAATTTAGACGTCAAGAGATGGATCACGAGTTGAATCCAGAGTACAGAAAGAGACTCATTGAACACACGGCCAGAGATGTAGCCATTGAACCACATGCGGCCCCATATGGCACAGCCTTGGGATGGGATCCCATGACATACAAAGACAAGAAGGGGAGACCAAAGCTCAAAGAAGCACCGATGGAGAGACCAATACAGGGACCGCCGCATTGGACACAGATATGGCCCACATATGCGGACACCGGTTTAATGTGGACACATACTGTATGCCAACATAATGTTCATGATGAAATAATAGATAATATGACTCTAATATTTTATTACAAAAATTATCATAAAAATAGACAAATACAACAATAAGGCTATTTCATTGGAAATGTTTGAGGTTAAAATAATTGAGGTTAAAAATAACCAAGCACGTAAAGTACACAAAAATCATGTACGAAAAATGTAAAACCAATTAAAACAATCAAACATTATTTCAAAGTTATAACAATAAAACATTGTTTTACTTAAAGTGTATTTTTATTTTTAAAAAATACAATTAAATCAAAATACAAAACTAAAAGTACAAAACATCGCAAACATATACAAAGATATCAAGAGATGGCCCACGAGTTGAATCCAGAGTACAGAAAGAGACTCATTGAACACACGGCCAGAGGGGTAGACATTCAACCACATGCGGCCCCATATGGCACAGCCTTGGGATGGGATCCCATGACATACGACTACAGGCGGCGGAAACCAATGGCCGGAGCCGTCCAAACCCAGCGACCTATTCAGGGACCGCCACATTGGACACAAATATGGCCCACATATGCGGACACCGGTGTCGCACACCAGCGCTACACCAGTGTAAACGACCCGTTGAAACAGGACGACCTCGAGTACCTGCAAAACGCAAACGTCGGTCAAGTGGGCAGCATATCGTTTGGCGAGAGACTCGGCTCCGGGAGTGTGTCCACAGTATACGAGGTGACAGCGCATAACGGTTGGGGCCGTCGCCAGCAGTTGGCCTGCAAACTGATCCGCTTCTCGGAGGTCAAGAATGTGAGCGTTGAGCGTATGGTTGAGGCACTGATGGGCGATATGTACGCACTGCAGGCCGGACTCGCAGCCCATCCCAATGTCGTCGACTGCGTGGATGTGGTGTCGATACCGGACTTTCAAACGGGATTCCCATTCTCGGTAACTCTGGTATTCACCGAACGCTGCGACGGCGACCTCGACTCGATTGTGGTCAACGAGTGTACGCCTAAGGGCTCGGGTATGGCTGAGCGACAGGTGTTGGAGTGGCTGCAGGACATCGCCTCTGCCGTCCACTTTCTACACGTGGACAACAACATGACACACATGGATCTCAAGCCCCAGAACTTTCTATACGTGAACCATCCGGACGGCCCCACACATCGCCGCACATACAAACTGTGCGACTTCGGGACAGCCATGCAGTTCGCGCCGGGAGTGACCCCGAGGTTTGTCGGCGACCGTATGTTTGGCAGTACAAAGTTTATGGCACCGGAGCTGTTGGCCAATCGCCAGTGCGATACCAAACCCTACGATGTGTACGCTTTGGGTGTATCGCTGGCCTACTGTCTGCTCGGCGTAACGATGTTCACGGCTTTAGATCCCCCAAAGCTTCGGACAGTGTTCCAGGCGTTGGCCGCCAACAAACGGGTGCCCCTCAAGAAACCCGTTAGTCTCCCGTTGGCAACACTTGTGAACCGTATGCTGTCTGAAGACCCGAAACAGAGGCCCACCATTGAGGAGGTGTGCGCCCATCCGCTCATCAAGTAATAGGGGTTAGGGATGAGAGTCTGTGTGTGACTCCCCCTCTAATTCTAAATGTCAGCCACTTTTGAATGAGTTTTTATCTGAATAAATGTTTTGTTCAGTATTTATATATGGGTTTGGCTTTAATTGTTGTTTTATCATTGATTTGGTTTGCGATTAAAATGTATTCAATGATAAGTTTTAGTCTATTATAAGTTTTGTACATTTAGCACATTTGAGAAAGTAATTTAGATATTTTATATAAAAATTGGATTACTTTTAAAAATTTATAAATAATTAGTAATTTTAAAAAATAAATTGTTCATTTCAAATTCAACAAGTTTGACCTAATCAAATGTTTTGTAAATTATTGTAATATTTTAATAGTTATTTATCAAGATAAAAACATAAATAAATGTTTTAAACAATATTTATTGCTAAATTTAATTTGCTTAGTCATCTTATAGACTACAATATTTTTTCAAATTGAATTGTAGTTAAAAATTAAAAATTAGAAACAAAGGAAACTATAAAATGAAAACAATTTAAATTATATTTTTATAAATTTTACTAAAATTTTACTAAAATTTTAAAAATATTTATAAATTCAAACACAAATTCTGAGACATAAAGAGATGGCACACGAGTTGGACGAAGAGTACCGAAACAGACTGATAGAGCACACGGCCAGAGGGGTAGGCATTCAACCACATGCGGCCCCATATGGCACAGCCTTGGGATGGGATCCCATGACATACGATTACGAGCAACAAAAACCAATGGCCCAATGGCCTGTCCAAACCCAACGACCAATTCAGGGACCGCCACATTGGCCGCAGATATGGCCCACATATGCGGACACCGGTGTCGCACACCAGCGCTATACCAGTGTTCACGACCCGTTGACAGCCGAGGATTTGGCATACCTTCAGACGGCACACGTCGGGTCCGTCGGTGCCATCAAATTTCGCCGACCGATGGGCTCCGGGAGTTTCGCCACCGTTTGGCACATCGAGAGCCACAACGGGTGGGGCCGCACACGACAGATGGCCTGCAAAGTGATACCATTCAAGAAAACTGACCCATCGATCGAAGTAAATGTTCACGATTTGATGGGCGATATGTTTACCCTGCAGTGCCTCCCTTTCCACCCAAACATTGTGGAGTGTGTGGACATCGTTGGCATACCTGACCCGCAGACGGCGTTTCCCTATTCAGTGGTCTGTATATTCACTGAGTTGTGCGACGGCTCCCTATGGAGTCTGAGCGGTGAACCGGCGAACTCGAGGGGTATGCCCGAGGCTATGGTGATTGAGTGGATGCGCGACATCGCCGGTGCCCTACGGTTCCTACACTCCGACCAGCGTATGGTTCATCTGGACGTCAAACCGCAGAACATACTGTACAAGTGGTCGTCCGACAGAAGTCACCGCACATACAAACTGTGCGACTTCGGGACAGCCGTACAGTTCCCGATCGGCACTGATATGCAGATCGAGTGGGAGTACGCGGTCGGCACTCTTCAGTATAGGGCGCCCGAGATGTGGGACGAGAGTTCGTGGGCCGCGCCGTGCGATGTGTACGCTATGGGCCGGTCAGTGGCCGAGTGTCTGTTCGGGCGCCAAGTGTTTGAAAAGCTGGACAAACCCCAAGTCGTGAAGCTGTTCCAGGCGTTGGCCCACCGCATGCGAGTGCCCATCAGGAACCACATCAGCCCCGGTATGGCTGCGCTGGTCGAGCGTATGCTCGCCGATGAGGTCAGTCACCGGCCCTCCGCTCAGGATATTTGTACAAATCCTGTGCTGTCTGTTAGCGTTGTATCCAAACTATAGTGCACTTAGATTTCAATGGAAATAAATATTTATATTTGTTTGGAAATTGTTTATTGCATTTGAATTTAAATAAATTATAATTTTTATTAAATGTATGAACACTTTTAAAACAAATACTTTAAAACATTTACAATTAGCACAGGTTTAGAAAATCTCTATCATTGGAGGGAAGGGTTAGCGATTATTTGCATTATTATAATTAAACACTATGTTATAAACAATAAATTATTTTTAATAATTTTTTAAACAAATAGCTTAAATTAAGTTTTAATTTAATAAATGTATAAATTATTGTTTTGAAAAATTTAACAAATGTTTTAAAATTTAATTTAAAAACTTAAAAACAATTGTAAATATGTAATGACAAAACACAAGACATCAAGAGATGGCCCACAACTTGAACGAAGCGTACCGGAAGAGACTCATTGAACACACGGCCAGAGGGGTAGGCATTCAACCACATGCGGCCCCATATGGCACAGCCTTGGGATGAGATCCCATGACATACGACTACGAGAAAAAGAAACCAATGGCCGGAGCCGTGCAAATCAAGCGACCCATTCAGGGACCGCCCCATTGGCCGCAGATATGGCCCACATATGCGGACACCGGTGTCGGACACCAGCGCTATACCAGTGTTCACGACCCGTTGACAGTCGAGGATTTGGCATACCTTCAAACAGCACACGTCGGGTCCGTCGGTGCCATCAAATTCATCAAAGTGTTGGGCACCGGAGGTTTTGGCAGCGTATGGCAAGTGGAGAGTCACAACGGGTGGGGCCGCACACGACAGATGGCCTGCAAAGTGATACCATTCAAAGACATTTATTTGAATACAAATGAGGAGACTGTCAACAATCGAATGGCAGACATGTATGTTCTCCAAGCCCTGCCTCCGCACCCAAACATTGTCGATACGGTGGACATCGTTGCCATACCTGACCCGCAGACAGGGTTTCCCTATTCAGTGGTCTGTCTGTTCAGTGAGCTGTGCGACGGAGACCTGTCTGACGTGAGCGAAGCCAATCCCAATGGTATGTCTGAGGCTATGACAGTGGAGTGGGTGCGCCAAATAGCCGGTGCCCTGCGATTCCTACACGAAGGCCAGCGTATGGCTCATCTGGACGTCAAACCGTCCTCCGCACCCAAACATTGTCGATACGGTGGACATCGTTGCCATACCTGACCCGCAGACAGGGTTTCCCTATTCAGTGGTCTGTATATTCACTGAGTTGTGCGACGGAGACCTGTCTGAAGTGAGCGAAGCCAATCCCAATGGTATGTCTGAGGCCATGACAGTGGAGTGGGTGCGCCAAATAGCCGCTGCCCTGCGATTCCTACACGAAGGCCAGCGTATGGCACATCTAGACGTCAAACCGGCGAACATACTGTACAAGTGGTCGTCCGACAGAAAGCACCGCACATACAAACTGTGCGACTTCGGGACAGCCGTACAGTTCCCGCCGGACGACGAGATGTTCATCGTATGGCAGTATCCGATC